TTTTTTTTAATGCTTCTGATATTGTTTTGTGATATTTTTATTTGTACGATGAATGGCAAAATTCGTAATCCATATTAGAAACTTTTTTCAGTGGCTTCTCAAAAAGAAAGAAATTCTTAGTAAAAGTTGCCGCATCCCCAAACTAGAAGAGCATATTTATTTTTTTTAATATACAATGTAACTTTTTTTAGTTCGAATTAAGTCATTCACAATACAAATAAAAATATCACAAAGGAGTATTAGAGATATTTAAAAAAATACTCACACTATTTATACTATTTCAAAAACGCTTTTGAAATGAAAATGATCTAAAGTTGAGAGCATTATGAGAACAATATGGTAATAAAATTATTATGTTACTCAAACATTTCTGAAAATATACAAAACAATATAAAAACAAAAATATCGAGGGCATAAATGGAACATAAAAAGAATGTTACTGAAACCAATTTTTTGAAACATTTCATTGGAAACGTATTTTGGGGAGGACATCTTGGGCTTCTAGAACATTACCAGAAGGTTGCATGGATTTTTTATGAAACGTTTCAAGAAAAATGGAAACGTTTCTGAAACATGTCAGAAACTGAAAAATGTTTAGTGGGAAAAGTGTAAAGCAAAAGGCGAAGTTCAATTTATTTGAGATAAATTGTTCTTCCACTTAACGCAAAGAAAATCATTGCTATGACATAGTTTATACATACATTTATGAAATTTTAACCTTATCATTGCATTTAATATAACATAACATAAAATAACACTAATGATCATCAAATAATAGTTGCCTATAGGATGTCTTAAATTTTTGAAAAGAATAACTTTTGAAATGTGAAGGAATGTCATTATAAATTAAGCATATTTGATAGGTATAGGCTCGTCTAAAAATTTCTAGCTTAAAAGATGGAGGAGAGAGGATGCCTTTATGCCTCACATTTACGTTGTGGACATCTGAGCGATAGGTAATCTTTCTATGAAGATATGACGGAGTTCTGCTAATAATAATTTTATGAAATAAAATTGCCGCATGCAAAATCCTCCTTTTAGACATATCTAACCAGTTATTATCTTTTAGTTTATGCGTAATATGTTCCCCCTTACGAATACCAAATATCAGACGCAAACAAGATTTTTGCACCTTCTGGATTTTGTTTTTGTATTGTACTGTTAATAATGGGTCATAAAGAACATCAGCGTAATTAAAAATAGACTTTACTTGTAATGGCAAAAAGTGTCTACTTCCATATAGTAGTTTTAACGTACAGTAAGCTCGTTTTAACAAATGATTTATGTTTCTCAAATTTTTAACCGGAATAAAAAAACTTTTAGCCTCACGTACAATTTGAATACGTTCGTCCTCAATAGATATATTTATGCTATCACATATTTCATCTACCTTTATTTTATTACCAAACAATAAAACATTAGATTTATCACAATTAATATTTAAACAGTGATTGGATGCCGCTTTAATAAAACTATTTAGATCCCTATTTATAACAGTACATGCATTTACCACTTCCTTAGGGTCAAAACTGTAATAGAGCTGGGTGTCATCGGCATAAAGGTGGATGTTACAGTTTTGAAGAGTTTTAATGAGACTAGACGTATAAATAGCAAAAAGCAAAGGACCCAAAATAGACCCTTGAGGAACTCCACTCTCTAGTTCTAAACGATCGGATATTCATTATCTTCCTGAATTTATATTGGCATGTTGTGTGCTACATAACATTTGTTTGAATAGAAATGATTTAATTGATCCATTACCCAATGTTCATTTAGAGCACAATGCTATATTGAATCGTAACCAAAATAGAATAAGAGGTCCATCTAAACATTATCTTAACAGGCAATATCAATAAACACAAATCATTATCTCATATACATAACTTTTAATTTTGAAACTTACTTGTAACAATCTTTTGCAGGGTTCATAGTTCAAAAGTAATATAGAATTCCCTTTTTCAGGTTTTCCCCGACATACAAAAAAAATCCAGGTCAGTTGTAGTTAATTTTTACATACTAATAATTGATGTTTATTAGGGTGATCTAAAAAAAACGAATATTTTTTTTTCGTGTCTCTTCTGAAAATATGTTAGTTTATTATATTTTAAGAGCCTCCTCAAAAAATCAGCTCATAAAAAAATTTTTTGGAGGTACCTCAAGATTTTTAAAAATTTCCAAAATCATCAAAAATAGATTTTTTTTTCAATTTTTTTTCTCGTTATTTTATCATTTTCTAAGTTGAAAAAAATTTCGATTCTGAAAATTTCAAATCGATATTTTAATTTCTAAAGGTCACTCCTAATTATTTTAACTTTAAAAGTAGTGTACCTAAAATGTTTTCGAGCGACCTCTAAAAATAAATATCAACAAACTAATAATTTTTTTTATTGAAGTTGATGAACAAAAGAATAGAAATAAATCACAAGACACTTAAATTTCTCGAGGCAAAATTTACTACCGCACTGAATATCAAATATTTATGATTTTTTAAAATTTAAGTGTCGTGATTCATTTCTATTTTTTGTTCATCAAATTCAATAAAAAAATTATTAGTTCAGTGATATTTATTTTTAGAGGTCGCTCGAAAACAGGTACACTACTTTGAAAGTTAAAATAATTATGAGTGACCTTTAGAAATTAAAATATTGATTTGAAATTTTCAGAATCGAGATTTTTTCAACCTAGAAAATTATAAAATAACGAGAAAAAAATTAAAAAAAAATTAATTTTTGATAATTTTGGTTTTTTGAGGGGGCTCTTAAAACATGATAAACTAACATATTTTCACAAGACACGAAAAATATATATTCGTTTTTTTTTGGGCCACCCTAATGTGTGTATATATTATGCTTTTTCTAAACTGGACCCCATAATCATTTTTATATCTAAAAAACCTCTTATAAAGGTTTCAAAATCACAAATAGTTTTCTCTTTTAGCTGTTTTACATTGACAATTTATTGATCAATTAATTGATGAAGTCGCTTCATCAAGAAATTGGACAAGTGTAATGCACCAAATCAGCTGTCAAATAACTTCATCAATTTATTCATCAAGTTCTTGACGAATTAGAGCATGTTCTAATTTTCGTCAATTTCTTCGTGAAGTTCGGAAGCACCAACCCAATATATGTCAGAACGGTACCGCTGTTGTATAACTACAATTATGAGTGGAAAGGTGACATTTTTGAAATTTATTTGCTTCTTTGATTCATTGATAGAACTGATTCATACGTCAAAAACTTGACAAAGTCCGTGGCAGTGTAAAATCACACTGTTTATCAATAAATTCGTCAATTAATTGATGAAGAACTTCGTCAATTTATTGATGAATAAATTGTCAGTATAAAACAGCTATTTAAAGAACTCGGGGCCTACTTTCACAAAATTTCCGGTAGCAAATGTCAGATTCCCTGACTTTTATGAATACTTCTAAAATTCTGACTATTCCCTGTTTTTTATGAAGAATAATGTATTCCCTGACTTTTCTGGTATGCCCGGTTTTCCAGGCTGCTACGAACCCTGTTTTGTGCCTCTTCCGAAACAGGTATTAGATATTATATTTCCTCATTATCTAATTGTGCATATATTTGAAGGCTTTTACTCATTTTTATGAGTAAATATAGGTGCGTTTATATGTCCTAACAATTATTACTTTTTTAAACCTTTAAATATTATTAAAACTACAAAGTTTTGACTGTGCTGTGACTAGGCTTGCCAGATCTCCGGGTATGACCCGGAGTCTTCGGGTTTTGATGGTACATCTTCGGGCTCCGGGTTAACATGTCATTTCTCCAGGTTAACGCCCTACCCCTGAAATCCATTTCCCAGGTCATATATTTTCCTTTTTTTTTGTTTAGACATCGGTGTGTATGATTGCTGAACTTTTTTAGTATTAGATATTTCCTTTTTTTTTAGAAATCGATTTCTTCGTAAACAATTTAACTCAAAGACCTTTTTTTTAGGCATCAATAATTTCTCCGAGTCAGTCATGGAATAGATCTGGTAACCCTAGCTGTGACATTTGACATATGACATGTATCAACAAAGACCTTTTTTTAGGCATCAATAATTTCTCCGGGTCAGTCATGGAATAGATCTGGTAACCCTAGCTGTGACATTTGACATATGACATGTATCAACTGCATTATCTATTTTTCGTACACATATAATGCATCAAAATAGTAGCCTTCTCTCGGTCTCGAAGTTGCCGTCATTTGAGCATGCGATGTTCAATTTGGATCCACAATTTGACGCATTTTGCGCATAATGCATAATTCGGACCTAAGCCTAGTCTATGATTCTAGTTTCTAGTACACTTCAACCCGTCATAAAAAACATAACCTACAAAGTTGCCTAATAAAAACATAAAAACATAAAACAAGTAGTCTCAAAAATTATAAAATTATTAGTGCTATTTTTTTCTAATTATCTTTATAGAATTTCAAAGGTTAGGATTCCTGTTCGCACCGTGCAAACCTCTGTGACGTAACGTGACGCCACAAGCCAGGAAGCGATCGGTGCAGGAATGCATTCATAATCATAGGTACCGTCCAGTGTCCAGTTACATTTTTACATTGTGCTTAACAGCAATCGGTACCTCGGTTGTTTTGTTTTTGGTATTGATTATATGATAAAAATTAAAGAAAAAAGCTATGCCTAAAATTAAACCAAAAAACTACAAATACTGCATTGTATAATACCTAGATGTACTAACACGACCATAAAAACACCCGACAAATATTTTTTCGACATGCCGAGATAAGAAAAATTGCGAAAAAAATGGTGTCAAATAATAAGGCGAGACGATAAAGTGCCCCTTTCTTCTAAATCTGTGCAACATTGTTGCGAATATCACTTTGATGTAAGTACTAAAGTAGGTACTAGTCATGATATATTTCGTTATATCTTGGGTACTAGTAATATTTATGCATTTTATATTAATTATTAGACGTTTTACTACAATGTTTATTAGTTTAAAATTTATTTCTACCTTGAACTTTTTGAGTAGATTACCACAATANGAGTAAATATAGGTGCGTTTATATGTCCTAACAATTATTACTTTTTTAAACCTTTACAAATTATTAAAACTACAAAGTTTTGACTGTGCTGTGACATTTGACATATGACATGCATCAACTGCATTATCTATTTTTCGTACACATATAATGCATCAAAATAGTAGCCTTCACTCGGTCTCGAAGTTGCCGTCATTTGAGCATGCGATGTTCAATTTGGATCCACAATTTGACGCATTTTGCGCATAATGCATAATTCGGACACAGAAGATAGTTGTTTTATCTTCTGTGATTTGGACCTAAGCCTAGTCTATGATTCTAGTCTAGTTTCTAGTACACTTCAACCCGTCATAAAAAACATAACCTACAAAGTTGCCTAATCAATAAATTAATTTTACACAGAACTAAAAAAAATTAGGTTTCCATTATTTTCATTTTCATTATACAAATAGTCTCAAAAATTATAAAATTATTAGTGCTATTTTTTTCTAATTATCTTTATAGAATTTCAAAGGTTAGGATTCCTGTTCGCACCGTGCAAACCTCTGTGACGTAACGTGACGCCACAAGCTAGGAAGCGATCGGTGCAGGAATGCATTCATAGGTACCGTCCAGTGTCCAGTTTACATTTTTACATTGTGCTTAGCAGCAATCGGTACCTCGGTTCTTGGTATTGATTATATGATAAAAATTAAAGAAAAAAGCTATGCCTAAAGTTAAACCAAATAACTACAAATACTGCATTGTATAATACCTAGATGTACTAACACGACCATAAAAACACCTGACAAATATTTTTTCGAGATGCCGAGATAAGAAAAATTGCGAAAAAAATGGTGTCAAATAATAAGGCAAGATGATAAGGTGCCCCTTTCTTCTAAATCTGTGCAACATTGTTGCACAGATTTAGATCATTTTGATGTAAGTACTAAAGTATTAATATTTATGCATTTTATATTAATTATTAGACGTTTTACTACAATGTTTATTAGTTTAAAATTTATTTCTACCTTGAACTTTTTGAGTAGATTACCACAATATAATATATAGCTCACTAGAGTCGAACTGTTTTAGTTATTTTGTGCTGAAATAATTTTCATGCAGCACAATCTTGATTGTTACTTTGTACGAGATGATTATGATAAGATAGTAAAAATACCTATGACTGAATTAAAAATGTAATTTATTGATGTTTTTTATTGAAGTTTACATCTTATTTTTTTTTGTTTTTTGTTTCTTATTTAGCTTTACAGTTTTCTTTTTATCTTATAGGTGGAAATTGATGTTGTCAATTTTAGCCGCTGTAAACTAGTTGGAGGAAACATGAAGCTGAAGTTGGGGATTCTGCCTTATAAAGGACCCCGCACAAACCTTATGGGTTTGAGTCCCCGGTCGATTTGTCTGAATTTTTGATATGTTGTACTTGACACCCTCCTGATCAAGTGTTCATAGGCCCAAAGTCTGGAAATGAACAGTTTTCGAGATATCGAGGACGCAAAGTCTCAAAAAATGGAATATTTCCATGAACCTGTCCAGTCCAATCCAAAATACATGAACGGGTAATATATAATAGGATATATACACATGTGACACAAATATTGTAAGAAGGCCTTTGACAAAGTCAACCACAATATCCTATTATGGAAATAGAACCCTTATTCTTTTAGCGTAGATTTGATACAGTTTATTAGAACTTATCTGACTGATCGGATAAATTTTGTGAAATTTAACAGTGCAGAATCTGAAACTTTTGTGTCCGAGTTTTGTAAACATAACGACCTAGCTTTAAATGAGGCAAAATGTAAACTGGTATCATACATACACAGAAGAAATACCCTATATTGGGAGTATACAGGGTGTCCCGAAATTCATGCAACAAAATTTGGTCACAAATTCTTAATACAAATTTAGGGGACCCGTATTTTTTACTTTTGCCAAGTGGCCCCCTCTTTCGGAGTTGCAGCCCCCTGAAG